GGGGGGGGGGGGGGGAACTTCTGGTGGTAAGGTTTGGAGACTTGGCATGGAGCCAGCTTCAAACCATATCAGTGCCTGATGCAGAGGAACAACTACAGCTACTTCCCTCTCCATCCCCACACATACAACCCATCCTCAACTACAGTGAGTTAATACGCTCTTCACGATCAGGGCATCTGTCAGCCCTGCACTCACAGAACAGCCAGAATTAAACACAGTCTTTCAGGAGCTCCTCCTTCAGCACAGCAGCACCAATTTGTCCTAAGCAGCTTCTCACAGGAAAGCTGGTGCTACAAAGTTCTCCTTTTCCACGGGGAATTTGGGGTGAAAACGCCAAACGCGACATAGCAAACAGTCTGCAAGTCTGGGCATCTGCTAGTGTGGAAGAATGCCAGACTAAGGGTTAACCCCCCCACATCTTATATTCTGGATCGGTTTCTCTTTAAAGAGGTTTAGGTTTTGAGCCTTTATTAGGTGACTGTGAGTTTGCTAAAACTCCTGTGTAATTCAATGGATATGTTTAAAATGCAAGAGGCATTTGCAAGAGGCAAATGTCCATAACACATGTCTAAAGGGGCATGGTTTAGTGGTGGATTTGGCAGTGCTGGGGGAACAGTGGAACTCAATCTTGGAGATCTTTTCCAACCTAAATAATTCTATGATTCTACAAACTGACACCTACCCCCACCCCACCTATTTCCTACCCCAAGATCATCAAGCTCAGCTGTAGCCAACCAGACAGTTGGATTTTGGAGCGGTTACCTCACATCAAACACTACTCATAGTTCAGAAAAATGAGTTCATGACAGTGAGGTAAGAAACACAGCCAAGCCCTTCTGAAGTTAAATAAAAAAAAAAAAATTGTCAAAGATCAGAGCAGCTAAAGAGGTAACACAGATCAAGATATTCAGTATGACAGAAGATTATTAATTCTAGCACCTAAAAAAACCCCAATTGCCCCCAAATGTGCCATGGCTATTTCTGCCAGCAGTGAAATACACACACTTGAGAGGGTCACCTCATTTGTGTCAAGATGATTCCATTTTAAATCTGATATAGGTTCAGTTGAACACATGCCTAAAGAGAATATAAAATGCTTTCCTCCCACAATTTCAATAATTTAAGGCTCTTCATTTAAACAGTGGTTTTGAGCAGAGATCAAACCCAAACTGCAGCCTCTGAAAACGGAGATTTCAGGAAGTCAAACAAAAAATGAGTAGAACATGACATTTTGCAAAGTCAAATGCCAAGAGTGCTTAAGGAGTCCATTTAGATTAGAAATCTTGAGAAACAGTTCAATTAGTTGATAGTATCTGATTTTACTGAGGGAAGATCCTTTGACAAGAGCTTACAAGTACAACACTTGAATTCCTCAGACTCTGGCTGGCTCTGGATCCAGCAGTGCCAAGTGCCAGAGTGCCACAGGCACAGAGCTCTCTGTGACCCAACAGCACATTGCTGAATCGCTGGCTGCACTGCA